TGGGGATTCGAACCCACCACCTTAGGTGTACGTGGCTGGCGCCTCAGCCGGTTGAGCCATAGGCGCCGAGCCAATGCATTCCATACATGTGAAAAATGTGTCTGATTTGGCTTAGCTATTTAATGAATTCAAGAACTGATTGCCTTAGAATGCTGACTACCTTTTTCCCCCCCAACAGAACATAATTATCTGGCTTTCTGGAAAAGTGACGCATCGGATTTAAAGTCTTGCTAATGTGCTTTTCGGATTCCAAATTCAAAGTTATATTTTTATTTTGTTTGTTCAAGGAACCTAATGGAAGTAGAAAAATAAAGTGTTTGAATTTATTGCCTCAGCCAGTGCAGCCTGACTCCTCGTGGTAGCTTACTGTTAGTTATACTATCCGGTTAAAACCCACAAATACTTGAAACATCACAACAGCCACATCAACGATTGTGAAATGAAAAGTGTAATTAATTATCCGGGAAACCCAGTTCCTCTCTACCTAATCCTCCTCCCAAGTACTTTCACCTAAAACCCTTGAAATATAATATTTTTCCACAGAATGGTCCACAGACCCCCCAGATCAGCATTTCCTGTCTAGTTATAACAAAGACAGAATGCTTTGTCTCAGAATTGCCTAGAATGGCCCACAAATCCGCATGTAGGACAAAGTTCTCAGATAGTTCCTGTGCATCTTCAAGTTTGAGAAGCATCACCATATAGAAATAACTGGATTTGAATCCTTGATGTGGGATTTACGGAATGTCAAAAAAGATCTGTCCTCCACTAGGATCCCATGATTTGTTATTGACATCACTCATTTGCATTTATTCAACTCCCTTGCCTGTCTCTCTCTCCCAGTACTTGGTGTCCAAACTCACCCCAGACTTCCCTATGCCTGCACTGGAGCAGCTGAATGTTGGAGGGAAAACAAAAAACAAGAAAAGCTTAAATTCATAAATGCAAACCTTACACAGACCCTGAGCTCTGCCGGGCAATCCCACCGTACTTTCTCTAGTTGGTTTACTCCCTTACTGTCCAAGGTGGCTATTTCTCCTGTCCACCTTCCCTAAGCCACCTTCTTTCTCCTCACTCTCAGCAGATAGCCTGGATTCTTATTTCATTGAGAAAATGGGGAAAATCCTTTATCTCTCTAATCCCCAGCCCATCATTCTCCCGGTATGTGTACCATGGACCCTGCCTTCCCTCTGGTTATAAGGGATGAACTCCTAGGTCCCATTCAAGGGCAAGCCCTCTCTTTATGCACCAGGTCCCATCTTCTCTCTCTTACTTAAGGATTTTGCTCCTCCGGTTAACACTCATCCATGTTTACGATCCCTCCTTCTGTTGGCACAGTTCAATCAGCATACAAGTTTACAGTAATAGCACCCATATTTGAAAACCTCCTGTGGCCTGGCACAGTGGCTCATGCTTATAATCCTAACACTCTTGGAGACTAAAGCAGGAGGACTGCTTGCACTCAGGAGTTCAAGACCAGCCTGAGCAAGAGTTAGACCCCATCTCTACAAAAAACATCAACATTAGCTGGGCACGGTGGTGTGCACCTATAGCCTCAGCTACTCGGGAGGCTGAGGCAAGAGGATCACTTGAGCTCAGGAGTGTGAGGTTGCTGTGAGCTGTGATGATGCCAGTCACTGCCGTTTAGGGCAATAGAGTGAGACGCTGTCTGAAAAAAACAAAAAACAAAAATATCTTCCTGTTGCCTCACATCCCTTCCAGCTACAGAGCCATGTCTTTGGTCCCTGTTTTCACAAGAGTCCTGGACAGTTATTTACCATTTTCATCTGCCCTGTATACTACCCCATCACTACTTTGAAAGTCTGTGTTCCCCATAGATATGTCCTCACCTTCATGCCTTCCTTGGAACTTGACCCCATTCCACGTGGTGGGGCCCAGATCTCTTCTCCAAGATGCTTCCCTACTCCACCTCCTTTTGAAGAAACCAGGGTGGTCCTGGGCCTTCCTAGCTGTCCTTCAAGAGCTCCAATTTCCCATTACCTAACTTTAACAAACAATTTTACCTTTCTTCCTCAACTCTTTCGTTCCAGGCTCTGTGTGTGTGTGTGTGCGCGCGCGCGCGAGTACGTACTCAAGGTAGAGTCTGAGAGGCTATGATGTTTCCCCCTTCTAAACCCAAAGCCCTGTTTAGGGATTTTACTGAACAAAAGGGCCATCCTCCCTGCATTTCCTCACTACAAAGCACAAAGCTTTAGAACCAGTGTTTTCTTTGTCACATATACATTTTAAAATTGGCCTTCCCTTCCTTCTACCTAAGAGCTCTAGAAATGGAAAGAGAACAATAAAACTTTTACAGCTGTTTCCCTGACCCACACATGCTCACTGTATTTGCTCTGGAAAAAGGGAGAATTTTGATTTATTACCTCCTCTTTTGTTGCCAATGCTTTCATAACTACTTTTGTTGTTCTGAAATTAAAAAAAATATGGAAGAGCTAATAAACAAGTTCAGTAAGTTCCAGAATATAAAATGAACACATACAAATAATTTTGCATAGCATTTCTATATACTAATAACAAACTTTCTGAAAAAGAAATCAAGAAAACAGTCAATCCCATTCACAATAGCTACAAAAAAATACTTCAGAATAAATTTAGCCAAGGAGGTAAAAAGGAGGGGATACATTTAGCCAAGGAGGACCTCTAGGCTGAAAACTATAAAATGTTGATGAAAGAAATTAATATTTAATATTAAAGATCTTTGTTTTGGTTGCGTCAGATATTCAGTGTGGCAAAAGGTTATACACAGGCACTTCTATTTTTAAACCCACGGTATGTATCCAATCCCACTCCCCTCCCCAGCCCATTCTGCAAAGAAGCTCCTGGAAGATGGTGAGTTTGGTGAGGATGGCTGTTTGCACCATTTTATTCACTGGAGGGCGTCTCAGGGTGCTGGATAAGCTTGCATGCCTGGAAAAATGATCAGAGTAGACGTCAGAGCTTAGACCATAGTACTGATTCCTCTCATTTAATGATATTTTCACAGAGATGAAAATCTGCTATTTTTGGAACCTGAAGAGGCAGTTTGGATTACAGGACCCCATCAGTAGAAACTGCCCGGTTGCAGTACCTCTGTTTAGCGATTATTTGGTTCCTTTAGGCCCATAATCCTCTTGGATGCTTAGCTCTCCAGGTTGCCTGTCACCAAAGTTCAGCTGTACCCTATGTGCCACTGCTGCCTCCTAGTGGCAGCTGTTGCTTTTCAAAGTGCTGGAAAAACAGTTGGGAAAGAAAAGATGACTTGGTATTGAAGTCTCCTTAATTCAGACACTGGGCAGATTTTTCCATACATATCACCTCTGTTAATTCATAAGGAAGATAAACTGAAGCTCAAGGAGGTTATGGAACTTGGTGTACCCAGGTGACAAAATTAATGAGTGACAGCACCGGATATCCAAACCTCAAAACTATGTCTTCTGTATCATTCTTACACTGCTAATTAAGCTAGGACTTTTTCCATCGGCTTCTTAGAAATATTTGAACTCAAAAATTGAGATTGTGCAGCCCCATGCTAAAACAGGTCGGTAGGAACGAGTGTTACACAGGTGCGGCTAGGAAGGTGCCCTCTATTGCTAGTTTCTCTGGACACTTTCTGGACAACACGGCGATATGTGTATTATTGAAGACAGGGAGGAATTCATTACGTGAATTACCCCAAGAAAGTAGGATAGAGTAGATAGCAGAAGGAGCGATAAGATGGTGAATATTGCTTAGTTCTGATATAAGGAAGAAATTCAGAATCGCTATCCTAAGGGCAGTGACAATTTTTTTTTTTTTTAGACAGAGTCTCACTATGTTGCCCTCAGGAGAGTGCTGTGGCATCACAGCTCACAGCAACCTCAAACTCTTGGGCTCAAGTGATTCTCTTGCATCAGCCTCCCAGGTAGCTGGGACTACAGGTGCCCACCACAATGCCTGGCTATTTTTTGTTGCAGTTGTCATTGTTGGTTAGCTGGCCCAGGCCGGGTTCAAACCCGCCAGCCTGGGTGTATGTGGCTGGCACCATAACCACTGTGCTGCAGGTGCTGAGCCAGGCAGTGACTCTTTTTTCAGTAGTGAGGAAATATGCTTTATATTCCTTGATCTCTACCCTATATTATATCCATTTGTGGTATAACATACTTTTGTAATCTATCAATGGAAAGTTCTGAATTATTTCCCATCTAGTTTGAGGAATTTACTGGGTACAGGGTTGTTCTGATATTTATTTCACAATAATAGTAATAATAATTCTTGGTATTTATAAATTGTTTTCCATCTTGATACCAAAATATCATTCAATTATTTCATTCTAATGATATAGAGTATCTTAATGCAAAACTGTGAATCACTGATTGAAATTTGATTATTTAGAATATCAGCTTATAAGCACCGTATACAGAGTCATTGCTAGTTTTGAAAGAATAAACTAAAAATATGGAAATCTCCATATCTCCATATCTACGTGTATAGATATAATATCATGTAAATTCCACAAAAATGGACAAAGGAAAAAAGAGCTACTCTGCAGAAGAAAGCAAGGATTAATAGAGATATTTAAATATTTCAGGTTTTCTAATAGTGGAAAATATAATTCAAAAGAGATTTTTTTCTCAAAAACATACAGTTAGTCCAAATCTAAAAAAATTGTTAATATGAGACAGCTACTCTCCCAGACCATTGAGCGGGATTGCAAACTCGCAAAATACTTCCAGCAAGCAATTCGTCAGTACTGATCAAAAGCCTTAATGTTTCTTTATGCCCATAGGAATTTCTTCTATGGAGATAGCTAAAGCTTCAACCAACATTTATATATATTCCAAGGCATTTATTGCAACATTATGTATAAGAGCAAAAGATTCATAACCACAGGAGAATAATTAAGCAAATTATGTTATATGCAAACGATGGAATAAGTAGACATTTAAAATGGTGATAGATATAAAGATTTGAGTAAGTCTGTAAAAAAAAGATTTGAGTAAGTAGGTTAATCGTGATTATTATTCCTTAACAGAAGGATTAAATATACTTTTTAATTTTCTTCTTAAAACCTTCCAGTATTTTCCGATTTTCTTATAATACCATAAAAACTTTCAAAATCTGAAAAATCCAGCAATGCAAAATCCTAGTTTAGGAAGTAAAATTTTATGACTCTTTATTACTCTTAATAGGAGTAATTTAATTTTATTAACTCTTGATTACTTGTAGATAGTGAGTGGAAATTTTTGCCTAATAAT